AAGTGGCCAGTTAGTGGAAGCACAAGGTGGGTGTTTCTAAGAAAGTGGCCAGTGAGTGGAAGTACAAGGTGGATGTTTGCAATAAAGTGGCCAGATAGTGAAGTACAAGTAGGTGTTTCTGATAAAATGGTCAGTTAGTGGAAGCACAAGGTGGGTGTTTCTAAGAAAGTGGCCAGTAAGTGGAAGTACAAGGTGGGTGTTTCTAATAAAGTGGCCAGTTAGTGGAAGTACAAGGTAGGTGTTTCTAATAAAGTGGTCAGTTAGTGAAGCACAAGGTGGATGTTTGCAATAAAGTGGCCAGATAGTGAAGTACAAGTAGGTGTTTCTGATAAAATGGTCAGTTAGAGGAAGCACAAGGTGGGTGTTTCTAATAAAGTGGCCAGTGAGTGGAAGCACAAGATAGGTGTTTCTAATAAAGTGGGCAGTAAGTGGAAGTACAAGGTGGGTGTTTCTGATAAAGTGGCCAGTTAGTGGAAGCACAAGGTGGGTGTTTCTAATAAAGTGGCCATTGAGTGGAAGCACAAGGTGGGTGTTTCTAATAAAGTGGCCAGTTAGTGGACCAGACCTTTTGGATTTTTAGTTTATTTTGCCAACACTTAATTGAACATTATCATAAGCAGTGAAAGGTGGTTGTTCTCAGTTGAATCTCCATCCTCAGATGCAGTTTCACAGTCTGTTCCTCTCCTCCGTGATCATCCACCTCTCACCAGCGCACACGCTGTGGCCTCTTCGTTGTGAGCTGAGGGAGTCGTTTAAGGATGAACAGCTTAATTACACCTCTAATAAGTGTTGCTGCAGAGTTTATAGTATTCTTCGTGTGAAGACTAGCATGTCGTTAGCGTCCTCCCCCCCAAGGAACTGCACCTATTAATCATAATGAGGAATTTGTTAGCATGTGGTCGTGTCAGTTCAGATCAATTTCTCTTACACAGCTTCCTGTGAAGCTGCCAGCTGCCCAGGCATTGTGCGGCGCGGATCGATTTACAGTCCGCCAGCCATTAGGCCCTGTTTTGTTTTTTGTTGTTTTTGTTATTTGATAGCTCATTTGCATGACCGTGGCAGCTGCTGGACGCGGCTCTTCTACCTGCTCACTCCGATCACTCCTTTCTCTCCAATTTCCACTAAAAGTGTTCATTTTCTAATGCGATTTTGAATCTGAAGCCTTCGCTTTGAAAGACTACTTTACCTTTACAGTGATGGCTACAACGAGCCTGTCCAAGCTCCGCCCACAAACGCATTTTTGTATATACATGTCGCATGATTGGTGAAAATCTCATTCAGCCTAATGAGAAACTGTAGAACAGACTCAGTTTATATCACAATACCTACATTTAGAGTCGGTTATTCATTCAGCCTAATGAGAAACTGTAGAACAGACTCAGTTTATATCACAATACCTACATTTAGAGTCGGTTATTCATTCAGCCTAATGAGAAACTGTAGAACAGACTCAGTTTATATCACAATACCTACATTTAGAGTCGGTTATTCATTCAGCCTAATGAGAAACTGTAGAACAGACTCAGTTTATATCACAATACCTACATTTAGAGTCAGTTATTCATTCAACCTAATGAGAAACTGTAGGACAGACTGGGTTGGCTGTAGGGCTGATATGAAGAACATCTACAGTGACTACAGTTTTACTCTGAGAGCCTGTTTACTGCGCAGGTGAGAGAGGAGGTGACCACCTGCTGCTCTACAGGTGTGTGTGTGTGTTTGTGTGTGTGTGTGTGTGTGTGTGTGTGTGTGTGTGTGTGTGTGTGTGTGTGTGTTTGTGTGTGTGTGTGTGTGTGGTTCCAGCACTGCAGACACATCTAACACACACACTTTCCACTGCATTCGTATTCAAATGAGGTCTAATAGATACAGAGGGAGAGGGAGGGAGAGAGAGAAAGAGAGAGAGAGGGAGAGAATGGGACAGAGAAGAAAGAAATATATATAGAGAGAGGAAAGGACATAGAGAAAGAGGGGGGGGAGAAAGAAAACGAGAATAGAGAGTGAGTGAGAAGAGAGAATAAGGAAAGAGGGAGACAAGGAAAGATCGAGAGGGGGACAGGAGAGAGAATAAGGAGGGAGAGAATGAGGAAAGACTAAGAGGGACAGAGAGGAAAGAGGGAAAGAGAATGAAGACAGAGAGGAAAGGAAAGAGAGAAAGAAGGAGAGAGGGACACAGAGAGAGGAAAGAGGAAGAGAGGGAGAGAATAAAGAGAATGAGGAAAGATGGAGAGGAAAGGAAAGAGAAAGAAGGATAGAGGGACAGAGAGGTAAGAGGGAGAGAGAGGGAGAGAATAAAGAGAGAATGAGGAAAGATGGAGAGAAAAGGAAAGAAAGAAGGATAGAGGGACAGAGAGAGGTAAGAGGGAGAGAAAGGGAGAGAATAAAGAGAGAATGTGGAAAGATGGAGAGAACGGAAAGGAAAGAAAGAAGGATAGAGGGACAGAGAGAGGGGGAGAGAATAAAGAGAGAATGAGGAAAGATGGAGAGAAAAGGAAAGGAAGAAGGATAGAGGGACAGAGAGAGGAAAGATGGAGAGAAAAGGAAAGAAAGAAGGATAGAGGGACAGATAGAGGAAAGAGGGAGAGAATAAAGAGCGAATGAGGAAAGATGGAGAGAAAAGGAAAGAAAGAAGGATAGAGGGACAGGGAGAGGAAAGGCAGAGAGAGGGAGAGAATAAAAAGAATGAGGAAAGATGGAGTGAAAAGGAAAGAAAGAAGGATAGAGGGACAGAGAGGAAAGAGGGAGAGAGAGAATAAAGAGGGAATGAGGAAAGATGGAGAGGAAAGGAGGATAGAGGGACAGAGAGAGGACAGAGAGAGAGAGAGAATAAAGAGGGAATGAGGAAAGATGGAGAGGAAAGGAAAGAGAGAAAGGAGGATAGAGGGACAGAGAGAGGACAGAGAGAGAGAGAGAAAGAAAAATCTTCAAAACTTCTAGAGGAGTTTTTAGTTGGATTATGAAGTGTTATTAGCTGACATTGTTGATCATCACAGTTTTCAACTCTTTAAACCTGTATTTCTGTCAGTATTGATATCTGTGGAGTATTTATCATATCAGCTGTGTGATGTCAGACATCCCTGATGCTCCGTAGCTCCACGCAGCAGAACTGTGTGCGTTTAACGGAGCTGTAAATCACCTCTGATTTGTGCTTTTGATGTTAATCAATCCTCTTTCATGGTGTTTAAGCCTGCGTGTCAGTGTAAGGCTGGAGAGAGAAGCGGTGGTGATTTGGGATCTGCAGCAGAGTCTACAGTGCTGTGTGCTGTACGGCTGAAAGCTCTGTAACACTGTAATGGTGCAGGTGTTGAACACAGCTGGGATTCAGTTTTGACCCCATCATCATCATCATAATCTGTACCAACACATGAGAAAAATTCATAAATCTGTACATTTTAAACTGAGGACATATCACATTATATCATATGTCTGGCCACTTTATTAGAAACACCCACCTTGTGCTTCCACTCACTGGCCACTTTATTAGAAACACCCACTTTGTACTTCCACTCACTGGCCACTTTATTAGAAACACGTACCTTGGGCTTCCACTAACTGGCCACTTTATTAGAAACACCTACCTTGTGCTTCCACTAACTGGCCACTTTATCAGAAACACCCACCTTGGGCTTGCACTCACTGGCCACTTTATTAGAAACTCCTACCTTGTGCTTCCACTAACTGGCCACTTTATTAGAAACACCCACTTTGTACTTCCACTCACTGGCCACTTTATTAGAAACACCCACCTCACGCTTCCACTAACTGACCACTTTATCAGAAACACCCACATTGGGCTTGCACTCACTGGCCACTTTATTAGAAACACCCACCTTGTGCTTCCACTAACTGGCCACTTTATTAGAAACACCTACCTTGTGCTTCCACTAACTGGCCACTTTATCAGAAACACCTACCTTGTGCTTCCACTCACTGGCCACTTTATCAGAAACACCTACCTTGTGCTTCCACTCACTGGCCACTTTATCAGAAACACCTACCTTGTGCTTCCACTCACTGGCCACTTTATCAGAAACATCTACTTTGTACAAAGTAAAGCTACAGTGATGGTGTTTCTAATAAAGTGGCCGGTGGGTGTGGTATGCTGTATTTTGTGGAGAGTAAACACTTAAATATGCGCATGTTTCAGTTAGTTTAAAGTAAATATGTATGTATTTGCGTGCCTCTCTGGCCGCTGCTGTGTGCTGTGGCGTCGGAGACATTAGACCCAGTGCCTGTGAAGTTGTTTTAGCCCCTCCGCCTCGTCTTCTCTCCTCTTTATCTCTTCATTCAGATGAAAGGATTTCATTCATCCTCTCAACTAGCCACTTTAATTACTATTGCGCTAATTGCATCAAATCACTGTCTTCTGGGCTCGATAAGGAGCGACTTCAAAGACAAACAGTCTTGAAGCGGAAAGCGGGAGTTGCTCGTGCGGTGGGGAGTGGGGGGGGGGACTGAATTAAAGGGCCCATATCATGCGAAACTGAATTTTTCTTGCTTTTTTTTATGTGAACATTCCAGATGTACCATTGACGTCCTTGACAATACAAACCATTTGTGGAAACCAAGCTGCCATAAACCGCCTCTTTTGTATTCACTGTTTTTGTGATGTCACAAAAACCAAATGATTGACATACTCACGCCTAATCAGTTTACATCAGTTTAGCTCCGCCCACTCACACTGTCATGAGTTATAAGGTCTATTTGGAGTCCAGACTGCTTTCTGAATGAGGGCGGCCTATCAGACCAGAGCTCATTTGCATATGTCGGTCTTAAAGGCACAGTAACAAAGCCTATTCAGTTCTGAGAGAGAGTGGAAAATGTAAAAATTAATTGAAACTGTTTTTAGTACACAAAGCCACACAAGTGTCTGCGAGAAAAGTATAAAAGTCTCTTTTAAATCACTTCTGTTCATTCTGGTCTGACTTTGTATGCTAATTTAACATTTTGAAGCTGCTGGTGTTCATGCGCTCCTTTCTTTCCTCTCTGTTTTTTTGCAGTTTGACGGTGAAAACATGTTCATGGGTATGCCTGAGCCCAGCCCGGACTTTGTGCCAGGGAACCAGGTGGGTTAATTACTCTTCCCTCCTTTTGTTTCAAGTTGTAATTAAACAAATTTAAGCCGCCGCATCGCAAATTAGAGCCGCTATCAGCCGCCGCCATAATCGGGGCTATTATAGCGTGTAAACAAAGCCTTTAAAGCTTTGTCTCGGATTAATGAAACGAAACTTTAGTGCGCGTCGGCGTCGGCTTTCATTTCCTCTGTTTACTCTTCCATTAAAAATAAAAAGAAGCTCCGCTCACGTTCTGCGTCTGGGTTCCTCGGTGACAGTGGCTCAGTGCGGGACGTTTCAGAGAGCCGGTGACGTCCTCAGGAATAAATCAGCAGCACACTAAAAGATGAGCTGCAGTCTCTAACTGTACACCAGCAAGGTGAGGGGTTTCTGATAAAGTGGCCAGCCGATGTAGTGATCAGTGACACGTAATGATGATCTTTTCAGAACTGTCGTAAAACAGTGTCTCAGTCATCAGGCGGTGTAATTATGATCATTTCATGTAGTAACTTTCTGTGAGGGAGCTTTTAGAGGTGGACGTCTGGTTCCTATCACCACCACTGTGAACAGTTCTGACTCTAGAACGGAACGTTTTACACCTAACCACTCTGAACGACTCTGTTTACATCTTAGCTATTTAACTATGCAGAAATTTTGAAAAACCGGTGGGATTCCCCTTAAAGTATTCTTACAGCAGCGTGTTTGGTGGTAGTTTGGTGTCATTTGGTTCCTGTGTTTTTTGAAGTGGACTGACGGCTCAGTGTTTAGATTTATTTCCCTTACAAACCCAGAGAAGGAAAGTTCCTGGTTGAGCTTTAAGTTGGCTTGACAAAACTGTTGCTATGGTATCCGAGGTGGTTGCTAAGGTGTTGCTATGCTATGCTATAAGAAGTGTTGCTAGGCTACTGATATGAAATCTGAGGGTGGTTGCTAAGGTGTTGCTAGCCTGTTGCTATGGTATCCCAGGTGGTTGCTAAGGTGTTGCTAGCCTGTTGCTATTGTATCCCAGGTGGTTGCCAAGGTGTTGCTTGTTCATTGCTGTGTTATCTCAGGTGGTTGCTATGGAGTTGCTAGGCTGTTGCTGTGGTATTCCAAGTAGTTGTTAAAGTGATGTCATGCTATTCCAGGTGGTTGCTCAAATGTTGCTAGACCATTGCTATGGAATCTGATGTACTTGCTAAAGTGTTGCTAGCCTGTGCTATGTTATCCCAGATGGTTGCTAAGATGTTGCTAGGTTGTTGCTAAGGTATCGCAGGTGGTTACTAAGATTATGATAGGCTGGTGCTATGTTATCTTAGGTGGTTGCTAACATGTTGCTAGGCCATTGCTATGTTATCCCAGGTGGTTGCTAAGGTGTTGCTTGGCTGTTGCTATGGTATCCCAGGTGGTTGCTAAAATGTTGTTAGGTTTTTGCTAAGGCATCACAGGTGGTTACTTAGGTGTTGCTAAGCTGTTGCTATGTTATCTGAGGTTAGTGCTAAGGTGTTTCCAGGCCATTGCTATGTTATCCCAGGTGGTTGCTAAGGTGTTGTTAGGCTGTTGCTATGGTATCCCAGGTGGTTGCTAAGTTGTTGTTAGGTTTTTGCTAAGGCATCACAGGTGGTCACTTTATTTTTACCTACAAATCTAATTCTGTTGTGGAGCCGCAACCAGGCAGTAAAGGAGCCGCATGTTGCCGACCCCTGCTATAAGGCTTAAATCAGGAGAAAACAACCTGTCATTCATTCACTGTGTCTTTTCCAGGCTTAGTGGTGTCTTATATACAAATACGTACTTAATTGCTTTTTGAAACTGGCTGTAATTGAGAAATAACCTGTTTATCTAGAACGCTGCTATAATGTAGTCTACCTGTGCCTACGTGCCTACACACTGGCATACAACACACATTCATACATATTAACGCCCAGTTAACAGTACTGACCACACATTAGAGCTTAAAACTGGACCGTCCACTCCAAAACTAGACACATTATTGATCCAAAGCCTAAAACGGCTCAAAAAATGAGGCTAAAACTCAAAAACCTTCCATTTACTGCCTGGACTCGATAGAAGCAGTAAATCCTATGGATTTAGACTGAATGAGATCTGTAGTGTTCGGTCTGTAGTGTCGAATGTTGCGATGTATGGAGAGTGTAGAATATCTCTCAGTCTGAAATAAGTCTGTTTCTCTCTCTGAAGGTTTTGTCTTATTACAGTATCTAAAAGTGTTATGAATAATTATTCTGCTCAGGAGAAGAGGGTCTAATAATGAAACACATTAAAGATTCTGCCCATATGGTTCGGCAGCCGAGGCTCAGCGCTGCAGCTTGTTCCACTTTCTCTTTGACATAAGTAACGTTTAACAGGTCTCTCTTCCTCCCTGAATGTGTGAAGGTGCAATTCACACCTTTTGCACGCACGGTGAAAATAGTACATTTAAACCTGATTGCGAACACACTTGAGTGTGGAAAGTTGCAGCTTTTTCAGAAGTTTATTCGATACTTTGAAACTTGTAATGTATACAGATTTTTATAAGTCCTGTTATTACTATATATATATTTGACATGCCTCACAGTTACGAATCAGAAGCTCTTATTATGATTGTAACAGCACGTATGTAAAGCAATAGCGGTGAAAAATCTAATGTACTCATCCCCCCAACCGCACACCCCCACCAAACCACCCCCCCCACCTCCGTACACGCCAGATGTAGTCAATCAACCAAGATGTCTTTGGTGTCTGAAGCTTGTTTCTTTGTTTTAGCACTGGAGCTACGAGGCTAATGTAGCAAACGAGTAAGCTTATTAGCATTGTGCTAACTGTACACATCTGCCTCAAACCATGTGGAGCTGTTCAGTATCTCCAATAGACTTGTTTGTGGTTTCTGACTCTGTGTGACTCACTGTTATCTGTAAATATGGACTGAGGTGCATCAGCATAGCTAAAAATGGTAGAAACCATCTAGAAGCCACATCTTAGCTATGCTAACGCCCTTTAGTCCATGTTTACAGTGTCATACAGTGTTAGAAACTTAAGCAGGTCTGTTAGAGATATGTAAAATTTCGCTGCTCTCAGAAAAAACATTGTATCTCTAAAACTACACAAAAAGGCAAAAACATACTTTACTTTTAATGCAAGTCAATGGAACCAGACTTTTTTCCAAGTCATTTTTGGCCACTTGTTTTGGTCCATTCATCATAAAGTTTACACACAGTGTAAAGCAGGTATTTTCAAATTATGTCAAAAACTGAAAAACAATAAAAATGGAGATTTTCCTTCCAACAGCAGCAATTTAAATGAATCATCATGTAATTTGAAAGACTAAATGCAATCGTCAGTCAAAATGAAATGACTTTATCCCTGCCTCTAAACATCTTATTTTTGATGATGTCACCATGCACCAGGGGGTGGGGAAAAATAATTGAAAACAAATGCTGTAAATTTACAGTATTTATTTTACAGTAAAATACTGATTTGTTATTTTACAGGAACATACTGTAAAAGAATGGGCATTTAGAGCAGTGCGTTGATTTACAGTAACATACCAGACGGCGCAGTGCATAGTGGGAAGTGACTCGTTTAGATGGGCAAAATCCTCCTTAAAGTTTTTATGCAGCTTAGTTAAGCACTGAAAATCATTTTTAGTGCAGGTACATTCGAGGCCTTCAGAGAAGGACCAAATATTTCTAGGAATTAAATTTGTCTGTAATTTTTAGTTGATTTTTATTCAGTAGCATCATGCTTGTATTTAAACTCTGCACATATTACAGCACTGCTCGTTTCATCGTGGGTGGAAACATAAGGGTTAAATTCCTGAAATGTTGAGTGGAAAACGGGCCAATCAGGAATTGTTTTCCTCATATTAAAAACGTTACCGTTGCCAGTAAAGTACTGTAAATTTACAGTAATTATTTTGTACAGTGTACACACTTAAAAAAATTGGTTCAAGGTTATTTAGTAAAAGCAATGGTTCTATACAGAAACATGTTCTATATAGAACTATTTGCATGCTTAATTGGTTCTTTCCATGGTGAAGTTGTTCTTCAGATTGATGGAGAATGTGTTGTATATGGTTCTATGAACAACCTTTTTGAAAATAGTTCTAAACAGTTCTATAAATAGTTCAATGTATAGAACCATGTGCAACACATTTCCCTCAGTCTGTGGTACCAGTTCACCATGTAAAGAACCATTTAAGCATGACAGAACTGTAAAAACATTGCCTAAAGAACCCTTGAAGAACCATCGTTTTAAGTGTGTAGTGTAGTACGTGTTCTGCTGTTGTGTAACACAAATAAAACTGAACAAACTTTGTTGGCTCGACAAAGCTGTGGCTGTGGTGTTGCAAGTGGTTGCTAAGATGTTGCTAGGTTGTTGCTTAGGTATCGCATGTGGTGACTAAGGTGTTGCTAGACTGTTGCAAAGGTGTTGCCAGATTATTGCTATATGCTAGGTGGTTGCTAAGGTGTTGTTGGGCCATTACTAAAGTGGTGCTATGCTATCCCAGGTGGTTGCTAAAATTTTGCTAGGCCATTGCTACGGAGGCCAAAGTGGATGTTAAGTTGTTGCTAGGCTGTGGCTGTGGTATCCCAGGTGGTTGCTAAGTTGTTGCTAGTCCATTGCTATGGTATGACAGGTGGGATAGACAGCTGCTGGTGCACAGTGACATCTTTAAAATCATAAAGCATGAATTTTTAAAATGATAAAATTGTATGATGAATCGTTATAATTGTACTGACTGCCATTCGACACTGTTTGAGGCAGCTGTGTGATGATTTAGTGCGGTTAGCACCATGCTAATTTGTGGGGTGTAAGCTTCCATTACTTGTTAGCCACAATAGCATTGTAACGCCATTGCTAAAACTATAGTAGCAGACTTCAGACACCAAACATGTGTTGGCTGATCTGTTACAGTTGTGGAAATGTGATTTATTTTCTGTTTTAAGCACTGATTGAGTACAGAAAGTGAAACAGAATTACAGTTTAATGTGGTGTAATGTGTGTCGGGGTTAAACAGCAGCGCTGTTGCGCTCTGTTGCAGCAGGAAAAAATAAATAAATGATTTTTCAGTTATGCATTATTCAGTGTGATGTGAGGAGTGAACAGCACAGACCAGTCCGGCCTTCTGCTGGTGTTCCTGCAGATTAATGAGGAGCCGAGTCTGATCTAATGCAGTGCTGTACAGTTTAGTGTTTTCCTGCTGTAACCGAACTGATTCAGCTCAACAGCTGGGCTAAAAACTCTACATGTACTTGCTTAAATGTACATGCTGAACGTCCAGCTCAGCAGATGTAAACCACACAGCATACAGACTGCAGCGCATTTGTTGTTGTACAATTCCAGTCATCACTGGTCAGTTTCTAATCACAGCTTATATTGGTGTATGTGTTTTTAATATGTAAATATATGCCAATATGCACATTTATGTCAGTATATCACAGTATATGCACATATATAGACTGAGTAGATGTAATAGTGTTAATATTTTTATAAACTTCACACGTGTATTGAAAAATATTGTGAATTTCTGTAGAGCTGAAGTTAATGCTGGCTAAGCTTACTTAGCTACTCTAACCTTAGCTAAAAAGTGGCTGAAAGCTACTCTAAACTACAATGCTACACATTAGCTACACTTCTAGCTAGCTAACTTGTTAGGTTATTGTTGGCAAGATGATAAGAAGCTGTATTTTGCTGCTGACTGCAAGATACTGAAATGCTTTATGACCAAACCCGTGTCTGCTAGTTATAGATGATTACCAGAACAGAAAGTAGCTAGCTAGCCAGCATAACTAGCTTGCTAACTTGTTAGTGGTAGCAGTGTGATTGCTAGCTTGCTTCACTGCTGACAGCAGGATACTAAAATATTTTGAAACAAAAATCTGAACTGTGTCATCAAAAATATCTCAGTTCTGTTTCTCAATATCTCAGTTTTACCAAATATCTCAGGTTTTACAGCAACTCGATTTGATTCTGACTCCAATGAATGTACTAATGTGACTGGAGGAACTATTTTATGTATACAGTCGTGGAATACAGACAATAAAAAAGACCAAATGTGATTTTTACATTTGAAAATAGCCCAAGAGTTTTGCCCTGGTCAAAAATATTATTATGATTGATAATCATTTAACGTTACCAAATCAGTGCTGTTGAACAGTCACCTCCATGTTGATGCATTATGATGCATTTTTACACTGTTGTTGATGTGTGTGTGTGCGTGTGTGTGTTTGTGTGTGTTTGTATGTGTGTGTGTGTCATTTTCCTGCTGTGTGTTGACCTTTGACCCTTGTGTCCTACTGTAGTTCCGTGTTCCTGCGAGCCCGAGTCAGACGCAGCAGAGCCCCAAACAGGGAGGGCAGTGGAAAAGGGAGGCGGACGGCCCGAGACTGCCCTGGGTAACTAAATAAACAGCACAACACTGACCATGAGTAAACAACACAACACTGACCATCAGTAAACAACACTGACCATGAGTAAACAACACAACACTGACCATCAGTAAACAATGACTATCAGTAAACTCATCGTGAGTAAAGGCCGTCCTCTCTGTGTCCGCTTCACTCATACTGTGTTGTACTAAAGTGAACTGACTGCAGTGAAGTCTCTGTTCTGTCCTACAGGATCAGCAGAACAATCCTGACTGTATTAAGTGCTTTTAACAAAACTACACGGTTTTATAAAACTGAAAAAGCAAAACCTTCCTGAGGTGAAGATTACAGTTAGAAAATCCATTACATACAGATACTCACATACATCAGATACTCACATACATACAATACAAATGCGGGACATTTTATTATTATTACAAATATATGCATATATATATATATATATATATATATATATATATATATATATATATATATATATATATATATATATATATCTGTGTGTGTGTGTGTTTTTCACATGGTTCGAAAGTGCATGTAGCCCAAGATAAATGGCCAAAATATACTTGGTAAAAAATCTGGTTCCATTGACTTACATTAAAAGTAAAGTATGTTTTTTCCTCCTCCTGTAAAGTTACCATTTTGGAGATAGGTGGTGTATATATACACTGATCAGGCATAACAGTATGACCACCTTCTTGTTTCTGCGCTCATTGTCCATTTTATCAGCTCCACTTACTATATAGGTGCACTTTGTAGTTCTACAGTTACAGACTGTAGTCCATCTGTTTCTCTGATACTTTGTTAGCCCCCTTTTACCCTGTTCTTCAGTGGTCAGGACCCCCATGGACCCTCACAGAGCAGGTACTATTTGGGTGGTGGATCATTCTCAGCACTGCAGTAACACTGACATGGTGGTGGTGTGTTAGTGTGTGTTGCGCTGGAGCGAGTGGATCAGACACAGCAGTTTTTAACTGTGTTTTTTTAAACACAGTGTCCACTCACCGTCCACTCTATTAGACACTCCTACCTTGTCAGTCCACCTTGTAGATGTAAAGTCAGAGATGATAGCTCATCTGCTGCTGCACAGTTTGTGTTGGTCATCCTCTAGTCCTTCATCAGTGGTCACAGGACACTGCCCACAGGACGCTGTTGGCTGGATATTTTTGGTTGGTGGACCATTCTCAGTCCAGCAGCGACACTGAGGTGTTTAAAAACTCCAACAGCACTGCTGTGTCTGATCCACTTAGACCAGCACAACACACACTAACACACCACCACCACCACGCCTGTATAGTAAGTGTGTGTGTGTGTGTATATATATATATATATATATACTCTCCCTCTCACTCTGAGTAATTAGCTGTGTTGGCAGTAACAGTGTTGGGTTCTCTCTGACCCTCAGTGTGTGGCTCCTGGTTTGTGACTGAATATAAATAAGAGAAAGATATACATTATCTCTATATACTCTCCCTCCCTCTCCCTCTCCCTGTCTCTCCCTTTTATCTCTCTTTTCCCCAATCTCTCTCTCTCTCCCTCTCCCATCTCTCCCTTTCTCTCTCCTTCTCTCTCCCTTATCTCTCTCTCTCTCATTCTCTCTCTCCCTCTCTCTCCCTCTCCCCCCTCCCTCTCTCTCTCTCTCTCCCTCCCTCTACTTTTCTCTCTCTCCCTCTCTCCCTCTCCCTCTCTTTCTCTCCTCTCTCCCTCTCCCTCCCTCTTCCTCCCTCTCTCTCTCTCTCTCTCTCTCTCGTGTATTTTGGCCATTAAACAGAACACACATTTATTGGTTTATTAGTGAGAGAGCTCCGGTCAGCCCCGAGCGCAGCTCTCTGTGCGTTTATTTGTTTTAGCGCAGTATCCAGACGAGGTGGTGACACTAACATGTCCAGCTCTAAAAATATACGTGTGTCTCATGTTTCTGGCGTGTTCTCAGAAGCGCAGGACTCTCAGTAATGTGTTCTCTGGCTCACAGACAACAAAACCTTTATGTGTTCGTCTGTAAGAGTTGACTTTGTTAAAATGTGATATCATTGATTCTCTGTGTGTTTCAGCCATTAATAACCTGCTTTCAGAGGAAACACATTCAGAGCCTTCAGCACCGACGGAGCTCTTTCGGTGCTGTGAACGCTAAAGCTAAGAGCTTTAATCATATCACAGCGTTCATTTACCGTATTAGTAGTGATTGCCCAGTTGCAAAGCAATCTGATTTAAATTCTTCTTCTTCTTTTTTTTCTTATTTTTCTCCCGGATAACTCGCTAACTCATCCCTAATTTTCAAAATATCAACAACGTTCCAACTCTGGAATGTTCTGTTTGATCGGGAATGGTGTGCTTGTATACAAACTTTTGATCCGATGTACGGTTTTCGTATAATCTTCTTTGTCCGTAATTGTTATCTGGGATACTATAGCAACCGCCTACCAACACCTTAGCAACCACCTTGCATACCATAGCAACCACCTAGCAACACCCTAGCAACCACCTGGGATACTATAGCAATCACCTAACAACACCTCAGCAACCTGGAATCCTACAGCTGCTATTTATCAAGACCCAGGTGGTTGCTAGGGTGTTGCTAGGAGGTTGCTATGGTATGCAAGGTGGTTGCTAAGGTGTTGGTAGGTGGTTGCTATAGTATCCCAGGTGGTTGCTAAGGTGTTGCTAGCAACCACCTGGAATTCTACAGCTACTACCTATCAAGACCCAGGCAACCATATAAAATACCATAGCAACCGCCTGGCAACACCATAGCAACCACCTAGGATACCATAGCAACCATCTTGCAAAACCTTGGCACCCGCCTGGGATATCATAGCAACTGGCTAACAGCACCTCAGCAACCACCTGGAATTCCTCAGCTACTGCCTATCAAGACCCTAGCAACCACATAAAATACCATAGCAACCACCTAGCAACACCTTAGCAACCACCTTGCATACCATAGCAACTTCCTAATCCGGCCCCTGATTCCTATCAGCACCACTGTGAACGGTTCTAACTCTAGAACAGAGCTTTTCACACCAAACCACTCTGAATGACTCTGTTTACAACTTAAAGAGAGCGTGAGTGGACCTCAGTGACCCTCGCACCGTCCACTGTTAGACACAAAGGGAGAAACAACTGCTCTCCAAACACTTGAGCTCCACTGGAGTAACAGATGTTTAGACACAAACTATCTGAAACCAAAGAGTCAAACAATCTGACAGTCACCACACAGACTCAGTTACTCTCTCTCTCTCTCCCTCTGTTCTCTCTCTCTCCCCTCTCTCTGTTCTCTCTCTCTCTCTCTCTCTGTTCTCTCTCTCTCCCCTCTCTCTGTTCTCTCTCTCTCTCTCTCTCTCTCTCTCTGTTCTCTCTCTCTCTCTGTTCTCTCTCTCTCTCACTCTCTGTTCTCTCTCTCTCTCTTTCTCTCTCTCTCTCTCTCTGTTCTCTCTCTCTCTCTCTCCCCTCTCTCTGTTCTCTCTCTCTCTCTCTCTCTCTCTCTCTCTCTCGTTCTCTCTCTCTCTCTCTCTCTCACTCTCTCTCTGTTTTCTTTCTCTGTCTGTCTCTCTCACTCTCTCACACTTCTCTCTCTCTCACTCTCTCTCTCTCTCCCTGTTCTCTCTCTCTCACTCACTCTCTCTCTCTCTGTTTTCTCTCTCTCTCTCTCTCTCTCTCTCTCTCTCTGAGTAGTCAGTTTAAAGTGAACAGGCTGCTGTATTGTGTTTTAACTGCTGTATGTTTATCATAAAATCTTCATCGTTCAGAGCTGCATTAAAGGGCGAGCTGCTCCGTGTTGTTTGTTTTTCTTGATTTGTAGAGGTATAATTGTGTGTAATAGTGTGTAATAGTGTGTAATTGTGTGTAATAGTGCATAATAGTGCGTAATTGTGTGTAATTGTGTGCTGTGTCACTGTAACCTTCGGGACACCTGTAGATCCAGCAGACCGTCCACAGCCGTCAGTCTGAGGTTCAGATAAAGCAGCTACTGTCATTTTCACCCCTGCTTGTGTTTCAGGACACGTTTGACTCGTATTTGTTCGTGCAGATGTTTAGTGATCATAAAGCAGCTGTGCTGATGTTATTAATCTTCAGCTCTGAGCTTCATGTGTATCAGAGCGTCCTCCTCGGTGTGAGGAGCAGGTTTCGTCTAAATAACGACTCGTTTTCTTTTCGTAATTCATAAAAATGTTGTCTTTTCCAAACCGGTGTTAACTCCTTTAAAGGCTCTTGCATAGAACGCCAGGGACACAGGGAGATGTAACTTTATGCAAATGAGCTGAGTGGCAACCAATCAGGTGTCACACAGTGAGATTTTACACTGGAACACACTCTGAGCGGAAGATATAACGATTAATAAAAGCTTCATTATTATGATAGATGACTGTTTTTAAGCTTTAAGAACAATATTATCTGCTTGGGACTCAGAACTGGCCTACACTCTTAAATAAGATGGTTCTACGTAGAACCATGAACTCTCAAAGAACCCCTCTCATACTTAAATGGTTCTTTGCATGATGAAATGGTTCTTCAGATTGATGGAGAATGTGCTCTATATATTTCTGTACACCAAAAAGGGTTCTTCTGTTACGGCTTTAGTTTAAAAAAAAAAAAATTCAAAATTCAGAAATTGCTTTCCCAAATTTTCATATCATTACCGAAACACAAGACGTATACAGTATATACAGTTGTATGCAAAAGTTTGGGCGCCCCTGCTCAAATTCCATGTTGTTGTTGATTTTCTAAGCATTAATAAGTGAACCCATCCTCAGAGAACACACTTAAATATAACCTTTTGGTGCACAGTTTTTATTTCTTTGCTGAATATTGAGAAAAAATGAAGCATAAATAAAATAAAATGTGCCATAACTTTTGCACAGGCCCCATTTTACATTTTATCCCCCACCCCTGATATGATAAACTCAGCAATTCACACTTCACACTCAGAAAATCCACTAAACATGGAATTTTAGCAGGGGTGACTAAATTTTAATCAGTTAATAATTGTTTTGTTAGTGGAGTGTAAT